TTCACCAGCCCCACATCAGACAGTGGACTGATCTCCAAAATATACAAAGAACTCAAGAAATTGGTCATCAAAAGAACAAATAATCCAATAAAAAATGAGGTACAAACCTAAACAGAGAACTTTCAACAGAGGAATCAAAATGGCTGGAAGATACTTAAGGAAATGTTCAACATCTTTAGCCATCAGAGAAATGCAAATCAAAACAACTCTGAGATTCCATCTTATACCCATAGGAATGGCCAAGATCAAAATCACTGATGATAGCTTATGCTGTAGAGGATGTAGGTAAAGGGAAGATTCATCTATTGTTGGTGGGAGAGCAAACTTGTACAGCCACTTTGGAAATTAGTATGACAATTTCTCAGAACATTAAGAAACAACCTCCCTCAGCAATATCACTTTTTGGTATATACCCAAAGAATGCACAATCATGCCACAAGGACCTGTGCTCAGTTATGTTCATAGCAGCATTGTTTGTCATAACCTGAACCTGGAAACAACCTATATGCTCTCAATGGAAGAGTGGATAAAGAAAATGTAGTACATTTACACAACAGAGCACTACACAACAGAAAATAATGACATCTTGAAATTTGCGGGCAAAGAGATGGATCTAGAAAAACATCATATTGAGTAAGGGCCCAGATCCAGAAACACAAATATCATATATACTCACTCAGAAGTAGATTTTAGACATAAATCAAAGAAAACCCAGTCTATAATTCACAATCCCAGAGAGCCTAGACAACAAAGAGGACCGTAAGAGAGTCATACATGAATCTAATCTACATGTGAAGTAGACAAAAACAAGAGATCCTGAGTAAATCAGGAGCAGCGGGTTCATGGAGAGGGCAGAAGGGGAGGAGGAAGGAAAGGAGGGGAGCAGAGCAAAATATAAAGCTCAATTAAAAGCAGTAAAAAAAAGGAAAATAAAGAAAAGTGCTGATGCTAAACCTCAGGAGCATCAAGATAGTAAGTAAGGTTGCTTTCAAGCAGCAAGCACATGTTAGAAAGGCAACTGCTCACTCAACGACAGGAATGGTCTTATAGTTAGATTTTGACTGAGTGTTCTGCTTTTATATAAAAGCAAGTTCTGAAATAAACTCTGGGCTGTGTGGCTGTTTTTTCATGATCAAACAGACTTCCTGATTGTATCCTGAGTCTTTCTTCTCAGTTTCTCTTATCTGACTTTCCTTTGGTCTTAACAATCCCCACTCCAGGAACCCTTGCTGACTGCGGGTGCAGGTTCCTACACATATGTTACATAGATGACAGTGGGAAGACACCTAGCAACAAGTGGGGATGTAACTGCTTTGAATGCAGAGGCAGGCTGCTGCCCAGGTAGAAACACTAATAGTCCCATAGACTCATGTGCTTGGATGCTTATCATAAAGGGAGTGGAACCTTTAGGAGTTGTGTACTGGTCAGAGGAACTGTGGCCATTTGGAGTAGTTTGTAACTGTAAGGATGGACTTAGAGGTCTCTTATGTTCAAGCAACACCAGTTGTGGGATAGTATACTTCATGTTGTTTGCGAATCAAGACGCAAAAATCTTAGCTCCTCCAGCACCATGTCTACCTACATACCACCATGTCCAGCCATGATCATAATGGAATAAACCTCAAAAACTGTATCTCAACCAAATAAAATGTTTTCCCATATAAGAGTGGCCATGGTCATTGTGTCTCCATACTTAGAACACTGATTAAGACAGGAGGAGGCCACAGAGCACACCATCATGTACAGATCTTGTGCACTCACGTCCTAGTGGATATGGAAGATGGGTATAGAAGATGAACTTGTTGGAAGGCTTTGTCCTGCTTTCAGGATGAGAGATTCCTGGGGCATTTGGTTCCAGGACAGATGTTATGTATCAAAGAAGACAAACAACTTGGAGGAGTTAGTGAGATGGGAATCCAACTGTATATTGAGACACCACCTTTAATGGGATAACAAAACCCTTCAATCAATCCAGAAGGAAAGAACAGAAACTTAGCGAGAGTGCCCATAGTTTTGTTGACTTGGATGGAGGAACATTGTGTGGTGTTGCTTCTTTTCTTTCAGTGTATGAGACCCTGGGTTTGTTTGTTTGTTTGTTTGTTTGTTTCTTTCTTTCTTTCTTTCTTTCTTTTTGACAGAATTATTTTATTTATTTATTTATTTATTAAAAATTTCCACCTCCTCCCATTTCCCTCCCCTCCACCCTCCCCTGCCTTCCCTCTCCAGTCCAAAGAGCAGTGAGGATTTCCTGCCCCATGGGAAGTCCAAGGTCCTCCCCTCTCCATCCAGGTCTAGGAAGGTGAGCATCCAAACAAACTAGACTCCCACAAAGCTAGTACATGCAGTAGAATCATAACCCAGTGCCATTGTCCTGGCCTTCTCAGTCAACTCTCATTGTCAGCCATGTTCAGAGAGTCTGGTTTGATCACATACTCCATCCGTCCCAGTCTATCTGTCCTTGCTGAGCTCCCATTAATTAGATCAGTCCTGCCGTCTCAGTGGGTGGGCGCACCTCTCGTGGTCCTGACTTCCTTGCTCCTGGTCTCCCTCCTTCTGCTCCTCCATTGGACCTTGGGAGCTCAGTCCAGTGCTCCAATGTGAGACCCTGGGTTTCTTTAAATTTAATTAGACTTCCACAATTTTATACATACATACAATGTACTTTGTTCATATTCCTCTCAAATATCTTCTCCTATGTCCCTCCCCTTCCCATTGAACTCCTTCCCAACATGCCCTCTTCTCACTTAAGGGCTTCTGTGTATGAGTGCCTGCAGCATAAGTGAGGGTTCCTTGCATTTACTTGCATGAGCAAGGGCAATTACCATTGGCTACATCACTGAGGAATGCAGCTCCTATCTTACACTCACACCAGAAACCATTAACTGCTGATAACTCCTCTTGGAGGGGTGGGTCTCACACACACTTCCCTCGTCTATAATGCAATGCTAATGGGCCCGATCTGAAGCAGGAAATCTCTGCTGCTGAGGATTTATGAGTCCAACTGCCATGTTGAGTCCAGACAGAAGCATTCCATAGCACTTTTTTCTATCCTCCTTATAATACATACAGTTCAAATGCTTTGGGATAACAAAGTATTTCATCTGTGGAACAACATGTTCTGAAGGTAGAGTGATATACTAAAGGTATTGGATATACTTAAAATAAGAATAATATGAAAGAGTAAGACTCTCAAGGAGTTGTCATTAATAGTTTGTTCAAGGATGAAGTGATATTCTGCATGTACTTACAACAGGATAACAACTTTTATTTCTTGAAACTTAAAACTCTTTTATGGATACCTCACAACACTCTGATCAGTCCACAGTTTGAGAGGTATCATATGCAGGGAAACTGAAAGACAGGAGTGAGGGACAAAAAGGATTACTACAGATTTTGTTCAGATTTAGCCAGTTTTATTCTGTTAGGCTGAGGAAAAGAATACTGAGAAAATATTTCCTAAGGATACATGTAAGATACCTGTTCTTGCAGAGGACCAAGGTTCCATTCTGAACACATCACAATTTACACTTATCTGTACCTCAAGTCCCAGGGAATCCAGTGTCCTGTTCTGACTTTTAAGGGCACCAATGCATGTGGTGCCCATGTGAGGAGGTAAAACATATGTATACATAAAACAAAATGGAAAAAAAAGCTGTGTGTTTTGTAGTTGAAAATATAGAATCTAAAAATAAAATATGATGCTCCTATTGAACAGAAAATGTCTCAAAACACAGGTATAGTGTAGGAGGAACAAAACACTAGAACAATACACAGGCTGTCTCTGCACTAATGTCTTCATATGTACATGTCTAGAGGCTTCATAATGTGGGAATTACTTTGCTACGGGCCCATTAGGGAAAAGAGGGTCAGCTTGCTCTTGAATATTACCACAGAAATATTCACCTGATTGCTTGTAGATGTAGGTGAGGATGTAGGCAATGGCTATATGTAGGTGAGGATGTGGACACATGCTTCATGTAGGTGAAGATGTAAGCAGATGCTAGATGTAGACGTGGATATAGGCAACCACTATCTATAAATGAGGATATAGGCACAGGTGTTATTTAGGTGAGGATGAAGATGCTAGTTATGTACAGGTGAGGATGTAGGCCCTACTGAGAGTACCATGTTGTTTTTCCCAATATATAAACAATTTCCCCCAGAGACACCATATGAGAGTAAGCACAGACAAGATGTGAATTGAAGCGATTTAATGGTAATTCGTAGTTTTTCACAATGCTCTTAGATTTGCTGATCCAAGCTCATCTGTCTCAGAGTTAGGTGATATGCAAGAAGCTACTTTAAGAAAGTTAAGGGCTAGCACAGACACTAATCTCTCTGGAATACCTCATGATTAGCAAGAGGAAGGGAACACTCTCTCAAGGGTTAAAATAGACCAACACATGAGTTGAGAATTTATTTTTTAAGTGGTATAAATGGGCAAATTCTAAAAAAATATTTTTTTGAAAGGTCACAGAGTTCATGACAAAAAGTTTCTGAGTACAGTTCTATTCACTCAGAGTTCTTTTCCCTTAAAACCCCAGCTTGCCCCATACAGTGGCTGTTCTAACTGTCTGGGTGCTAGGCCTGCACACAAAGCCTGGGAGCTCACACAGCTGCCATTTTACCCAAGATCAACTTGTCTCCTTTCAGTGTTTGTTTTAGTTCTTTGCAACAAGGGAGACATGAAGATTCATTCCAGTGAAACTTAATGTGAATTACTTCCTAAGTGAATGACTGAAGTATCTAGATGTGTCTGATGACCCCAGCATAGACCACTGACACAAACATCTGCTGCATTGCCTAACTGAAAACTGGAGGCTTTGTTTAAAACAATGAAGAAGACAGCAGAAGCCTTTAAGGAAACACTATCCTTTTTGCTCCTGTTTCTGTTGAAAGCCTGCTTGTTTGATGGGGAAAACAAGAAAGTGTTACCTTTCCCATAACTACTTCTAGAGAGAGAAAGAAACAGAATGAGCTGAAGTGGTGGTGCCCAGTGATTAGAGTCTGCAGTTCTTAAGATACTTGGTGACATCTCGGTTTTCACACTTGGCTCTCCATGCCCTCCTGTGGGAGAAAGTAATACAGGGAAGAAATGGTAAAAAAAAAAAAATATCTCCCCTGTCACACACATTCTTAAACATTTAGGGGAAAGATAGTGTAACAGTGACACTAATGGAGATTCTGATCTGGGCCAAGATCTAATGTGAAATGTGAGTTGTAGATGCATCTAGAAACTACTACTGATTGATGCAGCTATGTCTCCATGGCAGTTTGAATATCTCAAAACCCTGAGTGCAGCACAGGATGCTCAATGTCAATGTGGCAACACATGCATGGTACTGTGAACTGATCTATAAACAATCTGGAGGCCTGACAAGGGAGTAGTAAACTGTGAGGATTCTCACAATCTGGAGAAATTACTTCAAAGTAATGATGTAAATAAAGGCCCCAGCTGTATTTGTAGAGCTGAGAATGACACTTGAGCCTTAGAAAGACTCCCTACATAAATCAACAGAACCACAAGTTTTCCCTTTCAAAATTCCAACATACCATGCTCTCATGCCTTCAAAATCACTCACGACCTTCTTTGCACATTTTATGGCTTCAGTGATGTCATCCTGGAGCAAAACTGAAAGACAGGGGTGAGGACTGGACAAGGACTGTTCAGAACCCATTTTCAGTTTAGATTCAGGCGGTTTTTCTCTGCAGCACTAAACAGTGAATGAAAGAAATTACTTTCCAAATATCCATGAATCTGTGATTATTGGAGACAGTCTTTTGATTCTATCCTGTTGATATGCTGTAAGTCATTTAATTTATCATTTGTGAAGTCCCTAGTGGTTGAGATGTACTTAAGTACTAGTGTTTTCTTAGAATACCAGTACTAATTATAAATTAAAGAACATATTGTAGTCATGAGAAGTCACTGGAGTCTGTGGGACTGTCAGCTACCATGAGGGAAGTTATTCTTTATTCTCACACTGGAAAACAGAATATGCTGAAACTGCCACATGGGTCTACCAGTGGAGATATATCCTGAAGAAAAGAAAAACAGTAGTAGGGACATATGGTTTCAGTGGCTAAGAGCATTGTATCCCCTTCCAGAGAAATGATTCCCAGCACCCATAGAGCAGATCTCAAGGATCTGTAACTCCAGTTCCAGGAATTGGAAGCCCTCTTCTAGCTTCCACAGGTACTACACACACAAGCGGTGCACAATCCTATATGCCGGCAAAATATACACACCCATAAAGATAAATGAATACTTTAAGAAAGAACACAATGCACAAGTCTTCTGTGAATCAAGTTCTTCCCAGCAATTTAAAGAAAATAAAAGGAGCCAGGTGCTGTAAGACTCAAGAATTGGGGCTTGAGAGATGTCTCAGGATTAAGAACACTGACTGGTCTCCAGAATCTTGAGTTCAATTCCCAGCAATCATAAAGTAGCTTACAGTCATCTTAATAAGCTCTAGCGCACTTTTCTGGCATGCATGTAGAAACTGTAAACACAATAAATAAATAAGCCTTAAAAAGAAAAGACTCACAACTTAAGCGCTGTATTTTCAGCATAAAGAATTGTGCATATAGAAGTCACAGGAGGACAGTCTAAGGAGCTGTTGGCTTAAAGCAGTCCACACTGTTTCTGAGACAGGGTCGGCGATGGGAACTGACTTAAAGATTAAGTTATGCCTGTTAGTCAGTGAATCCCATTGGTCTGCCTGTCTCAGACTCCCTAGCACTGATCTTATAGATGCATGTCCCCAACTCAGTTTTTATTTGGGTTCTGAGGGTCTGAGGAGATTCTACTGTCTGAGCTATCTTGTCAGGCTCTATTTTGTCTACTCATTCAGAAATTTTGAAGTGGACTCAAGAAACTTCTGATTGGTAGGCAGGGCATTCTATCACCAAGCTGTGCCTTAAGCCTATTGTCTTCCTTGGCTAGTTTTGATGTGCTGAACAATGACTTTTTAACAGTCAAGACAGTCTCCCCAGGTTCCTGATGTTTCTCTCAGTGTTGACTCCTGCATAGAAACCCTGTTCTTGCACATAAAAGCAGGCGAGTTGTTTGCTATCCCTGTAAACCTGCCTTGTCTTACCACTGCAGCGTATCCCACAGGCGTTCACTGGTTTGCGGGTTTTGCCATCATTACACCAGTGTCGGCTATTGATCTGAAATATCCCATAGCTGGTGCTTCGGTGTCCAGGGTGGTTGGTTACAACTCGTGTGTTAAAGCCACTCTCATGTTGAGCCAAACATATCCCTGAAAAGAAAAACAATACTCATCAATAAGCAGCCACAGCAAATGATTCATATTGGCTATCAAAATTAGCTGGCTGTATTTTACAAGTGATTTATTTTATAAGTACAATCATAGGATTAAATTATAAAATATGCTACCACTAGTTCAGGTCAGGTCCTATTACCTCTGCAAAGCACCAATGTCCCCTCCCATATCGTCACCCCAGTATCCCTGATGGAAAAGACAAGAATGTTTTTAATCAAACTAAGGCAAACACACAGGAATCCCAAAGCTTACTGACTCCAGCTCTCCCTCTGCACACTCATTGCTTCCTTGTACCTGTTCTCAAGGGGGTGCTTATCTGATAAGGTCAAGTAGAGAAGACTTACAGTTTTCCAGACTGAATCCCTTGTAGCCCACCATTCCATGTCTTTTCATAATTCTGGCAAGCTCACAGCGTTCATAGACCTTAGCCTGGACAGTGACAAAAAGCAAGAGCAATCCCAGGTTAAGGAGAGCCTTCATACTGCTTGGGAATCTACTCAACAACTACCTAACACAGGCAGGTCCAAGTATTTAAGCATCTTTTAAATCCCGGCATCCTCTAATGGTTTATGGACTCTACCTTTTGAGCTTTGTGCAAAGCAGGAAGTTCTTATTGATCTACAAACTTCAAAAGCATTTTTATTTTCTCCCAGTGTTTGATCAGAGATGTTCTGTTCTATAGATAAAGATAAAATGATACCGTTTAATTACTTGGCTCACAAAGAACCAGGAGGTAGAATTCCTCCTAAAACAGAAAGCCCATTTTATTTTATCTTGAGTATGAACAATATAAAGAAAAATACTGGTTTTGCTTTCCTACTTAACATGAGGTGTCACTATAAAACAACATTCTTTTAAAATTAAATATTTTTTTTTCTAATTTTTTATTTTTATTTTTTCAAAAGCAATGGTTAATTTTGTTCATTTTTTCCAGTTTTATTTATTTATTCAATTTATTTATTTTTTCAAAATTTCCACGTCCTCCCCTCCTCCCATTTTCCTTCCCCTCCCCCCTCCCCCTCCTTCTCCAGTCCTAAGAAAAGTCAGGGTGCCTTGCCCTGTGGGAAGTCCAAGGCCCTCTCCCCTCTATCCAGGTCCAGGAAGATGTGCATCCAAATAGACTAGGCTCCCAAAAAGCCAGAACATTTTTATTGAGCTATAAATTGCCTTCCACTCCCCTTCCTTCCTCTCCTCTCCCTTTCTACACTCTCCCATAGTCCCCATGTTCCCAATTTACTCAGGAGATCTTGTTTTTTTCTATGTCTCATGTAGTTTAGATCCATGTATGTCTTTCTTAGGGTCTCCATTGTTTTCTAGGTTCTTTGAGATTGTGAATTGTAGAACAGTTTTTCTTTGATTTATATCTAAAAACCACTTATGAGTGAGTCCATATGGTATTTGTACTACTCAATATAATGTTTTTATAAATCCATCCCTTTGCCCATAAATTTCAAGATTTCAGTGGGTTTTTTCTGTTGTGTAGTACTCCACTGTGTAAATGAACCATATTTTCCTCATCCATTCTTTGTTTGAGGGGAATTTATGTTGTTTCCAGGTTCGTGCTATGACAAACAATGGTGCTATGAATATAGCTGGGCAAATGTCCTTGTGGTATGATTGAGCATCCTTTGGGTATATTCCCAATAGTGGTATTGCTGTTCTTGAGGAAGGTTGTTTATCAATTTTATGAGAAATCTCCATACTCATATCCAAAGTGGCTATACCAGTTTGTACTCCCACCAGCAATGAAGTATTGTTTCTTTTATCTCAAATTCTCTCCAGCAAAAGTTGTCATCAGTGTTTTTGATCTCGACCATTCTTATAGGTGTAAGATGCCATCTCAGAGTTTGATTTGAATTTATCTAATGCCTAAGGATATTGAGTATTTTCTTAAGTGTCTTTCAGCCATTTTAGATTCCTCTGTTGAGAGTTCTCTGTTTAGGTCTGCACCCCATTTTTATTGGGTTATTTGTTCTCTTGATGTCTAATTTCTTGAGTTCTTTGTATGTTTTGGAGATTAGCCCTCTGTCTGATGAGGGGTAGGTGAAGATTTTTTTCCCCATTCTGTTCATTGCCGTTTTGTCTCGTTGATCATGTCCTTTACTTTACAGAAGATTTTCAGTTGCAGGAAGTCCCAACAAATTATTTTTTTGTATTTGCATTTACCGTTTCGTATTGTCTTTTTTTGCTTAAAATTATCTTACATAGACTTTCCCACAAAATGAATGTCTTAGTATTTATTGCAACCTGACTTGCCTCATCAGTGTTCTTTTCTTGACATTCCTGATAGTTTTGTAAATTTTCTATTGTTGCAAACAAGTGGTTGCATTTCTTTCAGAGACAAGGTCTCACTGTGCATCCCTGATTGGTCTATGTAGACTATAATGTTCTTGAACTCTTCTGCCTCCTGAGTGCTACGTTAAAGACATGGCTTTTTTTTCTTCTTGCTTTAAGTTTCTTATGTAAGTCATTTCCTAGCATAGACAAAGTAATAGAAGATCAATATTTTGGTAATCATTTAATATAAGAAACAATACTTTGACTTTCACTTGGAAATATTGATTTATGTTGGCATACTATTATTTGTATCACCCGATTCTGTGTTACCCCCTCGGTACAGTTCACGTGCCACTGTACCGTCCGCGAGTCAGGCAAGGGCCTAGAGATGGAAAGAACACACAAGAGATCTGGATCATTCGAAAGGAGATCAGCCGAATGCCATTTATTCAACTTTGGGGAAATCCTATTATACCTGGCTGCTGCACAAGGATTTCTGACCACGCAGGTGGGAAATTACCATTCCAAAGATGAAACAATGCCCTACAGCTAATCACCAGGCGAGGCGGAGGGAGCACAGGAACAAACAGGATGTTTAGCTGGCTGACCAGAAACTGTCCTCAAGATGCACCCCAGGAGCAAGGGTAGACCCAGGCCCTACAGGTCTCCCTTTTATATAAATTATATGATTAGGCCTGTCTTGGGTGGCATTGAACGTCAGGCAATACCCCTTACCCATCATGGGAAAGCATCCAGGTCAAGACAGATTTTCTGTCTTAGGTTGGGGCAGCCCCCCAAAAATCTTACCGGTCATTGGTTCACTAGTCACCCATCACCAAGTTCAGCCAGATTCATGCTAAGATTCTCCGGGACAATAGCTAAGAGGACTTGCCACATGACAACATTGACCTGAGCTTGCCTTTGGCTCTGGCACCATGAAACCATGAAGATGATGCTCCAGCACACATATGCATTCCTAAAGGAGACTGTGCCTGCTCAATCCTTAATAAGTCTGCCCAAATTGGAGCCCTTTAAGTAAGGTCTCAGCACTGGTGGAAGAAACCCTGGTATAGTTAACTAGAATAATCTCAAGAGCCAATCTGTAAATTCTGCATTCCAGGGTCCGTGAATAACAGCAATAAGCCTTTCCTGACCTAGCAGAGGTCATAAACCACAACCAATTGCAAAATCAACTGCAGTATTCAATTGTAAAATTAGCTCAATTTGAATGGCCAAGGCATTTGCAACCTGCCCTGAGAAGGTATCCATTGTGCTAGCAGAAGCAACTAACTGATTAATGGAAAATCCAGCAGCTCTAGCTGCTCTGTCAGCCACAGCAAAGGCTGCCAAAATCATGGGATGAGTTGATAGGTAGAGGAACAATCCTTGGCATTCGGACCAGCATAGCCAGCTCCTCAGGATCCCAGCAACTCTTCAGTTGACAAGCCAGTGTCTGTTAGATCTCTTGGCTCTGTCCTGCCTTCAGGCTTCTGGACAGGAAAATCCACAGCACGCACCAGATGCTCAGGTACCCAAATTGGATTGTCAGCATCCTGCGGGAAAACACAAACAGCTCCTCTTCCCCACACCAGTACAGGATCTGGACCATACCAGGTGCCATCTGTTAGATTCTTTCATTTAACATGAGGCATCCCGAAAGAATCTGGCCACCAATGCCGGTCAACAGCGGTATGAGAATGAGCATCAACAGTCAAAAAATTTTAAATGTATAATATAAAAGACAAATGGTCTCTGTGGGTGGAACCATATTTCCCCTGTTTTGTTTTATGCAAATAAGCTTTGAGCACACAATGCGCTAGCACCTCTATAGCTTATCCATACAACCATTTACTGCTCTAAGATCTTAAAGCAACCTCCATTTACCAGACTTTTTCTTAATAACAAATATAGGAGTATTCCAGGGAGAAGTGGATGCCACTATGCATTCTGCCTCTAGCTGTTCTAGGAACTCACTCAGTAGACCAGGCTGACCTAGAACTCACAGAGATCTGTAGATCTCTGCCTCCAAAGAGCTGGGATTAAAGGTCTGTGCCACTAGACCTGGCTTTTTTTCCTGGGCTGAATAACCATCCCTTCACCCTCAGGGCAATTCCTTTTAACGTGTCCTGATCATCTGCATTGAAAATAATTCTTTGATCCAGCTCTACCTTGACTCTCCCTAAAGGCAGAAACAATTACCTGACCCATCACGTGAGTGTCATCAATGGCCCTGCATAACTGAATAAAGTCATTTAAATCTCCATTTCTACGGGAGCTTAAAACCTCTTGACAAAATCTGTTAGCTTTTTCTTAGGCTAATTGCTTTATGACTGGCATAACTGAGTTCACATCCCCAAAAATGCGACTTCCCAACTGTAGCAGGCAGTCAATAAACTCAGAATAAGGTTCTGAAGATCCTTGAAGGGTCTTAGAAAGCTGTTCTTCTGCTCCTTTGTTAGGTAAAGTTTTCCAAGCTTTAAGGGCGGTGGCAGCTATCTGAGCATAAATCGCAGGATCATATGTGATCTGTGCTGCTAAGCCAGCATACTGTCCTTCACCAGTTAACATGTCAAGGTTATGCTGGGGGAAACCTGTGATGGCATTATTCCATGTGGTCTTTTTGCAATTTTCCTGCATTTCACCTCTCCATAGCAAATAATCTCCCCCTGAAAGATAAGCCCTGAAAAGCTGCATCCAGTCACTGGGTATAAGGTTGAGTTCTGCAAAGGATTCTTAAAAAAGCTACAGTGAAAGGAGCATGAGCTCCATAGGCCACAACTGCTTCTTTTACCTGCTTAATATCCTTAAAGGCTAGGCGGTTATGCTGCCTGATCCTCTGTTCTTGTGGATCAATAATTTCCACAACAGGATAAACCTGACTCTCTCTACTTAGATTATTTAGTCTGTCTTGGATGTCTCACATTTCTGCCTCTAAGTCTATATGGGCAGAAGCAGTAGTACAAGGATTTGAAGTGGCAAAGAATGTTTTTTGCGGTGGGAGTCTCATCGAGAGATCTCTGTTTGCTTCCTTCCTTTCCTCTTTTTCTAACTTCTTTTTTATCAGTGCAATCTCCTTTTCTAAAATTTCTTCTTCCTCTTCTATATCCCTTCTAACACTCTTAACTTCCTGCTCCTCAAAACTCTTAATAGAATTCACAGATTCCACTTTCTGAATCTCCTCAAGGGTTTTGCTCAAATTCTCT